ACGTTTTCGAATTTTCCATAGCAGTTCTTATTGCGAGAGAAATGGTTTCAAAATGATATAAGACTCGACGTGTCCCGAAGACTCCTTTTCTCAGGTGGCCAGAACAAAAACTTTGATTTAATTTTTTTACCCGTTGCTGCGTTTGACACATCCAATTTTTTCACGAAGGCGGCAATTGGAGGAATTTGAACTACGGGTCGGGGAACCCCCTCAACGGCAAGAACAGCAAATTCGGACTGGCGGTTGTTTCTTCCGATCAGCATCAACGTTAGCGATGCTTTGGAGTTTCATAAAATGGCCCTTCCTACTACAATTCCTGCACGTCACATTGCTTGCTGGACAACTCTGATTGTGACTTGCAGTGAAATTGTTCCCACAGAAACGACACAATTTTACTTCTTTAGGGGTCCTCCTCTGGGACATTTAGAATTTGATTGTGCCCGGCTGATTCGGTCCGACAAATTTTTACTTTGGACACGAAAAGTGGCTTCCTGTTTTATCCTGAAGTTTTGCGAGGATTTTGACCCATGATGGGATGAACTGCCCGCTGGTGCAGTTCATCCCATCTCAGCTGTTTTTCTCAGCTGTTTTTCGCAAACTTGAGGCCATTTGAGCGTTTTTTTTCCTGCAATAGCGCAGACTTCAGGGTCTCTTTGGGAGTAATGCGAGGAAACTGGTTTCAAAATGATATATCACTGGACTGTACAAAAAGTCGTAAAGTTGAATTGGATAACATTGCCGCTTGATTTTTCCAATTCCCTTGAATGCGTGTGAGGTATTTCTTGAATGATTTTTCTTTAAAAAGTTTTTTTTTCCATAAAACTCGTCCTAATATAGAAAAAAAGTTATTGCTCCTTTTTTCATTTTCCTTGACGCGGTTATTTATTTTTCTTCCAATGTTTATGAAATTTACGGAATGTGTGTGCTCAATTTCATTTTTTCTCCACTCAAAAATCGAATCACTGAGTACCAGTTGTGGAAAGATACTTTCAACATCTGGAAAATATAAATTAGATTGCATAATCTCAATAAAGTAAATGATTCCGCTCAAAATCAAATATATACCGATACAAAGATACAGATATTCCGTCAGTTTCATCAAAATTTGGAAGAACGAGTGCACCGCATTACAAACCAGAAACAAATATTTAAAACATTGTGCATCTCAAAATTAAAGCTCAAATTGCAAAATTTTGGAAAATCAAATTATTTTTACGAATTGGGAAAAATGATAAAAGATGCATCCGCATATTGGAGTGATGATACCTGGTTTGGCGCAAATTCGAGATAATCCAAATTTGATTTGGTTAAGTTTGCGCGCATTTTTTCTTTATTCGAACCCTTTAACAAGGTGCGGAAACCACTGATTTCAAGGAGTGCGAAACAGTCTCAAATTTTGTTTGATGCAGATTCCACGACTCACTGGTCTGCTCCAAGTTAAATTTTACACTGCTTGTCTTTGTTATGAAATATTCAATTTTTTCTCATAATTTTTCTGATACCCTAGGAAATAAACCTACCCTCTGCTAACAAGCTCGCAACACGTTGGCGCGACTACGGCAGTTATTATTGCAAGCTCGCAACGCGTGAACCGCTTGGTTTTATGCTGTTTGAGCAACAAACAATTAATCAATTTATTCTTTGGCGAAAATTTCAAACCCATAGAATTCAAGATGAAAACTTATGCGACTGATTTTCTAAAATACTTTGGGTCCTATGAACGTTGGGGCCTGTGTGAGTTCAATGCTCCAAGCAACCAGACCAAATGTAAACTTTGTCTCTCTGCAAATTTTGAAAACTCCATTATCTAACTGCTCCCCAGAGCCTTTCATTTTATTCCTACTTATTCGTATTTGGATACCTAATCTCATTACTAATTGTTCCGATTTCTTTGGCGCGCGCTCCCAGTCAAAATGAATTTATGTTTGAACCAAAGGCGCTTTCATAAAAGTTTCAAAGTTGCTGAGCCAAAAATGATGCCATAGAATAGTCCCAGACGGTGGAACTTTTGATAGGTTGGGGAATCGAATCCCTGAGGAGGAAGCTTCCGCCTACTAGAGTATCTGCCAAGCTTAAGCAGAAGAAGAGACAACAGCATACCCCTTCTACTACAGTTCGTCTTCTCAGCACCTAAGAAACAAACTTAATTTTAGAATGAAACAGTTTCCAATGTCTGATCACATTTCTGTAATTCTTGAACTTGATAAAAGTTAAGAGGCTGAAAGAATTTAATTTCTAATCTCGTTTGCAAGTTTACATGTGAGCAACTCTTTTACAATCCTTCGGATGGATTCATTTGAACTTTGTATTGGGGATCATTTTAAGCTCGTACTTGTTCAGACAAAAAGAATCTATTCAACCGCTTCTTTACTTCATTTTTCAAACACTTTTGTTTTTGTGATGTTACGCCGCTCTATACTTTGTCTTCTAGCTTTTTGAAAACAGACACCATCTCGTTTGATGAAGTATTCCAATTTCCGCAAAAGATTCTTCATCTCCAAATGATTCTTCATCTGTTTATTTTGATAGTTTAACTCCTGCGTACTTCACAAGTTTTGCACAAATCAAAATTGTCCATTGGTGATTAGACTTTACGAAAAAAATTGTGAAGCGCAAACTCTGCCTGACTCTTGGTAAACTGCTTATGTTACTTTTCTGTACGAGGAAGACAATCTTAGCAGCGTTATGTATTGCCATCCAATCAGTTACCGAAAATTATTGATTGGGTTGAAAGAGACTTTATTTGATTGTAATATTTGGAAGTCAGGCAAATTTTGAAGTTCACGATTTGTTTTCATGTCCCGGAATCAATTCCAACCCAGCTTTTGACCTTCTGAGATGATCTTTTTCAATTACATGAATTTAGCGCTTCACTTATCAGAAACATGGTCTCGCTTTAGCTATAATGTATTGTCTATATAATTGTTGCTAATTGCAAGATATAATTTTTTTACTTTGAAGTGTTGCGCAAAAAAAATGATAAATACTCTTCCTTACTCCTTCATTGAATTTTTGTGAGTGTTTTGATGATTTTACTTAATAATCCATGTGATAAATTCCAAATGCGCATCTGAAATTTTGAAAGCAAAACTTGTTGAGAAAATTTTAACTGATGATTACTTGTTTCATGATTTACAAGTCTTAGCGTATTTTTAAACTATTTCGAGACAACTCGGCTAAATCATTTTTTGCCAATTGACTATTACGTTTATACTTTAAGAAAAATAATTGCATGTGTAGGTTGCAACAATTGGCTCAATACGCGAGTAGGTTGTCGAATTTGTCCACATTTTTGGGTGTTCGTGAAAACTTCACCAAACAAAAAAAATTGGCAGCAAAATCTGACAAAAAATTCCAATTGGGCTACCAAGTTTTCCTCCTCAGAAAACTGGAGAAATCTAAACGACATTGCTTGCAACCTGAAACAGATTTGAAGACCAATTGCTTGATATTGACGATTATTGGGATAATACTTTAGAAGTTTGCCAAAACTTGTAGGAATAAAAACCAGGAGGTGTTTTGTTTCTATTGAATAGTCTGGTTAAAATATCTTTAAAATGTTTTATATCTTTTCGCTTCTTTTCGAAAATTGGAGTCTTCATTCCTTTCGAAAACATACAAAGTTCATGCTTTTTTTTCAAAATCATGGCATTTGGATATTTGTAGTTTTTGTGCTATTTGGGAATTGTGCCACTGATTTGAAACGTAGTCATTTTTTCACACTGATTAGTTTTGTTGGCAAAAAACACACCCGAAGTTGTTGAACTTCAGTAAACAAACTGACAATTTTGTCAAAGAAATTAGAAAGATTACGAGGCCAAACTGTGCATTTTGTGAAATCTAAGCAGAGTCCGCAAGATGCTAAAATCAAATTGGTTGTGGAATCCATTACAATGCTACCTTTCCTTGATTTTTATTGCTGTTTTGAGTTTCATTTACAAATAGCCAAATCCTTGCGCCGCTGATAGTTGCTGAAAAAACAAGCGATTTTTTTGGAATCCGCTACAGTATTGCAGAATCCGGAACAGTTTATGGAGTCCATGAGCAAATTATATATCATGTGCATAGAACAATCGCGTTTTTGCGGAGTCCATATCTGCATGCGGCTTTCGCAAACTCTAGGCCGAATGCCCAAATTGTAAGCGGAATCCGTAAAATAGGCGGGTTCCTCATTTTGTTTATGGATTCAGTAACAAATATAGTAGCATTTTAGTTTAAACCTTTTCTTACCATGTGTTCACCGGCGAGCTCAATCTGAATTACTGCCTGAGTCCAATCGATCCCAATTCTTGTCAGCTTCATTCCTGCCAAATCAATTCCTTCTAACTTTCATTTCTTGCCAACTCAAACGTTCAATCTTAATTCCTCCCAATTAACTTACTCTCAAACGTTCAATCTTAACTCCTCCCAATTAACTTACTCTCAAACGTTCAATCTTAATTACTGCCATCTGAACAAACTGAAGTAATATATTTAATCAGTTCACTTCAATCGCACAATTGCACAATTCAATCATTCGTTTCAATTTAGCCTCAACTGCAATACATTCAAATTACAAGACATGAGGGATAAGAAAAAACCAGAATAATTGAAGTTTTAAAAATCGGTATTCGATGAGAAGAAAACGCATACCAAATTTTATTGCAGTAAAATAACTCTCAAATCATCTAAACGATATTAAAACAGACCATTAATCACAAAATGAACTTTCTGCGTCTGCTATTATCGAAATTATAAATGAGTGATTCAAACTTTTCAGTGCACATATTCAAAGATGAATATTACTTCAATAGCTTAAAGTGATGTAAAACATTTAAAACTGAAATTTTCCCCCATAACTGAAGCTCTATAAGCAAAACAGTTTTTTGGAGGTGTATTTTTAGAGATATTGCGTAAATCTACAAAAAAAAATCGGTGCTAATCTTGAATGAAGTGAATACTTTTTAGAAGGTTCCTTATACAAACTGAGATGCCCTTTTCTGAGCAAAGTGAGATTTCAGCGGCGGCTATGTACGGACAGGACAGAATAGCGGATGTGTTGGTGAGGAATGGGGCGGAGTGCAACTACTGCAGCAACTCAGACCAACACACAGCCCTCCACTGGGCCAGCTACAGGGGCCACCCCAGTGTGGTGGAGATACTACTCGCATCAAATGCAGATGTGCGTCAACACCTCATAGCAAAATGAGATCTTTTTTTTTAAATACTTTTTAGTCATGGAACCCTCTGGGCCGCGGCAGAATGCATATGACCCTCTTATACTAGAACTGAATCTCTCCAGGCGTTGGGTGTTACGGGTGACTCCTGTTATCTTCGCAAAATAAGAATAAACAGTCCAACAACTAAAAAAAAACTAGAATTGACTTTCAGAGCATGATTAATTAGTCATTAATTTTTCTTCTTAAAAATCAAAAATTGCAGTATTGGAACATTATTATGGTAATTTTTCACCACATGATTATTCAGAATGTTTATAACACAATGATGCTCTCTCTTTTAGGTGGATCAGCAAGACAAAGATGGCAACACAGCCCTGATGTTTGCCAGTTCCAAAGGGTTCCAGCACATTGTTCGTATTCTTCTCGAGTACAAGGCAGACACGAGGATCAGAAACAAACTGAATGAAACTGCAATTCACGTCGCATGTAAATTGTGGCGGCCTTTGACGTTGCAATTTGTAATGACTTTTTGGAGGTGTAATTTTGAAGAGAAAAAATTGCGTATTTCTACAAAATAGTTCTGTGCTAATCTTGAATGAAGTAAATACTGCCCTGACCTTTTTCGTGCAAAGTGAGGTTTCAACGGTGGCTGTGTGAAAAATGGACACGTGAAAAATTGACCGACAAGCATTCAGCAGACTTTTTTCTTTTTGGCTTCTATTTTTTTTTCAAATTAGATCAGAGTTATCGGAACCGTATTTTTTTTACTTGCACAACAACCAGCTCATCATGTTTTTTTTTGTTCATTATACCTGTTTTCTGTTGAAGGTCTCGGTTGTGACAGTGCAGTTATTGTGAAATTCCTGGTCAAGTTCGGATCGTATGTGAATCAGCCGGGGAGACACGGGTGGACGCCATTGCACTACTGCGCCGAGTACGAGCGGGTGCAGTCGTGTCGGGTACTGCTCGAGGCAAGAGCCGATCCCACTCTGGTGGACAGCATAAAGGTTTTTACTGACGACAATGTTGTCAATTTCCTACCTTCGAGTTCCAATTTTCCTTGTCATACCTTTTCTTCCTATTTTATTTCTTTTTTCATGTTTCTTTTTCATTTTTTCATCTTGTTTCTTTTTTTCCGTATTTTCGTTTCTATCTTGTTTTCGTTTTTGGAGGTTTTTTTCTGCTGTGGTTTCAATTTGTCTTGTTCTTGTTATTAGAATTATGTTTTCCTCCTTGTCCTGCCGAAGTAACCCTGGGTTCCTCTCTCAACCCGAGTCCAGCAAAGGAAACGCAATTGCCTTTTGCGTGAGTTTGCTGCTTTGAATTTACGAGGCAGAAGCTTGAAGTTTCAAGCTAATAAAAGGCAGAATTGAAGAGGGTTTACAAGGAAAGAGAGATAGAAGAGTTTGAGCCGCACATCTTTCAGCTGGCAATTTTGCGAAAAGAGTCCGTTGTGGACAAGGACTGGGGGAGGGGGTGTGAATTGGGTTGACCACAATTTACATCTTGCACGTAGAATACTTGAATTTGTTTTCTGTTTTTCGTAGTTTTAATTGATGCAATATACAGCTTTCCCATGCAATATACAGCTTTCAATATACAGCTTTCCCGTTAGCTAAAATTGTTTACAGGACACCCCATTAGACATAGTAGAAGACAAAGAAACATGCGGGGAGGAGATCCGATCTCTACTGAGTGAAGCCACTCACTCATGGAATGCCAGAGCAGAAGAGGAGTCTAAATCCAACACACCCACACCCCGAAAGGTCACCCCGGCTGCGAATTCCCCGGCCGCCCCTTCCCCGACGGCTACTGTAGCACCAGAAATTGAAACTGGGTCAATTGAAGAGGATGAAAAAGAAGGCATCTTACATGAGTCACAGAATGATCACAACGATGACGATGATGGCGATGATGATGAGCATGAGTCGACTTTAGACAAACCAACAATCTAAACTTATCGAGAACTGGTTATCCGATAAATATTTTTTGACGAAGAGTTGAATAAAGCAATTAAGTTGAAAATACAATTTCGATGGATAGATGCATATCACTTATATGTAGATCACCTAATAAATCTTTTTAAAAAGACTTATTACAATTCTGAAGTTTTCAAAATAATTTACAATCAGTTGGACGAGGCACATAAAAATCTGTTTACCATATTGATTTGTACAAAAATTAAGCTCCGAAATTTATATCATAACTAACCCAATCGTTCTTACTGGGTTACAGCTTCTTTGAGTTTTTTCACCGACCTTTTGCGCATTTTGTACCTTCGATTTGAACTCACTTCAGTTCTCTTGTTCAAGTTTATCGAGTGATCAGACAATTCTTTTTTATCCATTGCCAATTCAGGCAAACGAGGCATTTGATCAAACGGACAATTATCTTCTTTAGGCCAATAGAGCAATCGGATTGAATAGCCGCATGTATGGACGTCGTGAAGCATTTGCGACATCGCAGCGTTTTTCCATTCCAGGCCAACGAATCCCCCGCATCGTAACTTTTGATACTCTGGGTCGTCATTTAGTCTCTCAATGAGACCCATTTTGGATCTTTTACTGTATTTTTCATTGCTATCGAAAAATGTTCTGGCCTCCGGGTGTTTTGCAGAAATAGCCAGTTGACCTTCTTGCTTTCGAGACAGATTATCAGTTATAACTGGATACTTCTCGCGTACATTGACGAATGAGTTTTGAAACTCGTCGTCGATTTGGAAATAGTCGTCGAAAACAATTCGCTGGCACCTCAGAGCTCGAAACAGAGGAATCACATGGATTAAGTGACCTAGCCAATCATCTACAATGACTCCGTGTACTATTTTTTCCAGAGCTTCGCCAGGAAGAAAGACGTTTCCATCCAAAGGCAATACCCAGTCTGTGGTTTGATCCAAAGCAATCGCAATTCCGAAGTTCCTCGCTTTGTTCACGTCTTTCAGTTGTTCCAGAAGCTCTTCTGGTTTATCTGCGCATCCAGGTACCTTGTAGTATGCTTGGTTATGGTGATCCAGGGTCTTTCTTATAAGCTGTTCTTCTGTGCTGTTGTACATGCATGTGATGACCCAAATTTGTCTAATGCAATGTGACGACCTTTGCAGCTCTTTTTCATTTTTTAAAATGTGTTGCAGATTGTTACTTTGTTGTTCCGGGGACTGTAACGGAGGTAAACTTGGTCCCATTAATCGGACTATAGTCACATGTTTATGTTGCATCGTGCTTTGTTTCAGAAGCTCGCAAACTTTGCTTTCAGCGCCGTAAAAATGCTGGAACTCAATTTCGAGGCGCTCCAGCATTTGAGCCGGGACACTGTCAGATTTTTCCAGGTTTCTAATCATCGAATGGAATCTCCGGTTCTGAGCTATCGAGTCCAAAATAAAAAGCATTGCAACAAGAACCAGAAACATTTTGAGAACGAGTTCTGCAATTCCTTTTTTGCTACTAGTTTGGCTGTCAAACGGAATACAGAGGCATCTGGCACATGATTGTACGCATCGTATAGATCGTCTAAAGTGAGATTTCCTGGAAATCTTGAAAGGTAATTTGTCAATCCAGAAAACGACCTGAGCTCCTATACGGTATTTGAAGTCTTCGATAATATCATTTGATTGCTCAATATCATTTTTATAGCTTTGATTGTCCATGATAAATCTGTTAAAAATTACAGAACTTTCATTCAAACTATTAGAAACGGATAAAGGCGTTTTACAATAGCCTACTCAAAATTACAGAAAGAACTAATAAAAAGCCGATTTGCGTGAAACAAAGAAAATTGACTATAAATTAAGAACGAGTTTATTCAGATTTACTCATAATGGTATTATTTGATTGAATAAAAATTCATTTTTCAACTACAGAGCTAGAAGTTTACAAAGTCTTTAAAGTTTTCACGCATCTTACCATCTAGAGATCTCAAACAACCAAGAAGTAAAAAAAAAACTAGCGTAGAAACTTCATCAATCGGTCTTAATTTTACTTAACTAATATATGACGCAAAGGTGATTTGGTTAACGTTTTCTAACCTTCTCAATCCCGTTCAAAAATCATCTATAAACTCAGAAACTAGCAGCAGATCTTCAATAGAGAAAGAAAGGAGCCTTGATTTATGAAAAGACCATTTTTGAATAGCTATAATAAAAAAAATTGACGAATGTTTTATTGGATTGTTCTCTTCATCGATACTAGAGTTGATGAAAGTAAAAATGGAACTAAAATGGATGATTTATAAGTGGACCTGCCATGGCGATCATTCTCTGGATAAGAAACAATGCCAAAAACAGATATAAGATTTTATTCCATAATTTTGATAAAATTTTACAATACAAAGCTTGGATTTTTTCAGGTCAAAGAAATGAACTAGTTAAGTTTTTATCTAACCCTTTATGGTTAAGTTTTTTTTCGGAATAGTGAACCTTTATTTTCAACCATCTTTGTCTGTGGTTTACTTTTGTTTAATAATAAATGCATCAAAACTTCTGCTCGTATAAGAGACCACGTCATTTCAGAAGGTCTTTTATACGAGCAGAAGTTTTGATGCATTTTTTTATTAAAGAAAAGGAAAACTAAACTCAAAGCCTTCAAACTGGTTTTTCTCGAAACTGGGACAACATTTTTAGTGTTATTTTTACTGAAACGGTTCTATTATGATATGTCGCTCGACCCACTCCAAAAAGTATTTGTGGTACCTGATTTTGCGTGGAAAACTACTGCCTATTACTGCTGTCGGGTGGTCAAATTTCAATTGTGCTTCCTGTTTATGTTTTGGACAAAACAGGATGATACCAGACAAATCTATTATTGTTAATAACTGCACATGGTCCTTGCACCTCAGACCAACCGGATTTGGTGCAGAAATTGTCATGAGGTCAAAATCAAGCCATAAGCAACTCAAAATTGTTTTAATTTGCGCATTTGTGACGTTATTAGTTTTTATCTGACTGCTTGCTGTTAAGAGCTATTGAAGGATACAAAATTTCTGCGGATTACTCAAGAAATCTTGCAGAATAAAATTTGTCTCTGGAAATATTGTCGTTGAATGAGAGAAAGCTGGAAAAACAAATTTCATTTATGAAAAAAAAAATGCTTTCTAGGGTCCTTTTTATTCAGTTGGACGGAGTGTATATTGGGAGCAACGCAATAAGAACAAAAAAGACGGTTAATGATATCAGCAAAAAAACTTTCCCCAGAAAACCTTATTTTTTGCGCGCTTTTCACTTTCGCGTGCTAAGGATGTGCATCGTAGGGACAATTCGCTTATCTTGAAAGTGTAGAAACCAAAAAAGGTTAAATCGTCTGCTACTTATCATTACTTCTCTTTAAAAAGTTGGCGTCACATAATTAGTTTTCATTCGCTCACTATAAAGTTAGCTATAATACCAAATGAAGAGTCAAAAACTGATCATGAGCATTTGTTAAGATGCGAGTATCTGCTAAAATTCTGCCGCATTCTAATCGTCGACAAAATTCGTCGTCTTCTCAACTCGTATTTTCGGTCTTTTCTGAATCCAAAGCTGTTGTATCTGGCTCTGTGTCTAGGCTGCCATTCATCTTTGGACCCACTTGTACTGTCGTCAGAGCTCTTCAGAATATCTTCTCTCAGCATGGAATACTCGAGATGACGCCTCAGGCTGTTCGGTTCGCAGATCCACAGATGGTCTCTGCACATGATGTTATGTTTGAACCTAGGGAGTTGCACCTGGTTTTGACACTATTTATTAATGAAAACTCAATGTCAATTCAAATTATGAAAGAAAAAGTAAAAAATACAAAAAAAACTCGAGCAAAAGGGATTAATTATAAGAGAAGTCTACGGATTTCGAACAAATTTTGCGTGAAAATTAGAAAATTCAGACAATTCTTTTTAATTTTTGGAAATAAATTGTTATAATTTATTCTGTCTATTCAACTCTCTGCGATACCATCTCGGCATGATTGCTGTTCTATTGCAAATTTGTAATTCTAACAGTGTCAACTTTGTTGTATTCAGAAAACTAAAAAAAATTTTATGCTGAAAAATGTTTACATGAAAATTCCGAGAAATTAAAAATTAAGAACGCGTGAAAAACGTTTTTTCTTAATTAATTGACTTGTTTCCATAAAAATTTTTTTGATAGAAACTGTTAAATATGTAAAAATGATCTGCTATTAACCAATGGAAAGTTAGGAATCGTCCCGGGTCCTCGTAAGGGAATGAACTCGAGTTCATGTCTGGAATGCCCACAGCCTGACCAAACTCCTGCCCCATGATCAGATATGAAGCACCCTCTCTTGCTCCCCGAAAATGATCTCTCTGCAATTTTCCAGGACCAAAACCAACCTCCAGAATAGCATTTTGACAGATGTCCGGAATGTAGAAGGCCTACACACATAAAAAATTTTAGAAAATTAACTTTGAAAATCATATCAATAAAGTTGCCATTCTTGAACAATTTGCACGCACTACCACAACTATATTAACTGTGCATGAAATTTTATTATTAAAAAAAGATATAAATATTGACACATCAACTTTAGAAATTTTGCCGATTACACTCAAAAAGTGATTACCCTTCAAAATCTTGGAGTTCGGACTTACTTTTCCCCAATCAAAAAAAATGCGAAAACGGGGTAGTTTGTTTTTGTGCAAGTAGCAGAGAGTGTTCCTTTTTCTTTATCAACGCCAAAAAAAATAAGTAAAAAAGCGAAAAAAAAATTAATTCAAGTTTATTTGGCTCAATATGTTTTAAAAAATAAATGATTAAAAAGTAGATTGTATACTTTTAAAATTATCTTCACGACTAGTGATTTACTAATTGTCTCAATTTGATAATATCAAAAATATTTTGGAAAAAACACAAATAAGTGAGGGAGTTATTAGATTAAATTACCTCTTTATCTGTGGTTCTATCTAAATTATTTTCAATAATATCAAACTTAAAAAATTGATAAATCATTGCTCTTGAACAATGTCTTGAAGATAATTTTAAAGTTTTCAATTATTTGATATCTATTATCTAGTGCTATTACTAGAGATCAGGATTCAAAATAAAATACCTGATGATAGGTTTCAAATGATTTTGCAGTTCCCTTAAAGATGTAGCATTACGAGAACTGCTGCTTTCATAAAAAAAGGGAAAAAATTCAGGGAAAAAAATCAGATATTACTTTACACAAGTGTACAGTTGTTATCAAGGTCAACAGAAACAATAGTGGAACTAAGAGCTTTTTCCCCCTCCCCTACCCAACAATTGATTTTCAATTTGTAACAAGACTGCTCGTATCAGGGCGAAGCCCTGAATGTTCCGAGTGCCGATTAAGGTTTATAGAGCAGCGGTAATAACATAAAAAATTAAATGAAAAAAAATTAAATGAAATTTTTTTTCTTCCAAAATTTGAAATTTTTTATGAAAATCATCCCCCCACACGCCATATAAAGCACAAAAAGATAGATTTCGTTCCTTGTAACAAATCAATTATGACAAGTAAGCTTCGTTCAACCAAATTGGAACGATTTAAAAGACGGATTAAATCTCCGCTTACGCGTTAATAGCGCGAATTATATCGCGCGTTAATTGTCCCAAATTGGTCAAAATGGCCAAAATGGCAATCTTTAAACCCTCATAACTTTACAAAAAATGATCATAGGTGAAATATCTTTTCGAAATTAAGTTCAGGACAACAATGGCTTTCGAGTGATATAAAAAAGTTCCGTCAAAAATGGCTAGTTAAAAAGTCGAATCTTGTCTGAAGAAAAAAAAAACCCAGACCCCGAGCACAAATATTCCGTTACTTTCGTATCGAAAGTCGGAGCAAAAACTATTTAAACATTGTCAAAATGTCATTTTGCATGGTAATCAAATTTAACATTGTGAAAAGATTTATTTTTTAAAGTTAACATAGTAAGATCATCCACTTTTCCACAATGACACGTAAAACAAGTATGAAAATAGAAAATTGTTTTGCGTTAAAAACTGAGCTAATTTATAAGCTAATCTTTACTTTTTGCTACAGGCACAGCAAAAGCTCCTTAACAACAACGCTCGTCTATCAGGGCGAAGCACTGAATGTTCCGACAGTTCCTTAATTCATATCAAATAGTTTTTGGGAAAAGAAAATATTGAAAACCTATACATTTTTGACAATATCAAAGTGTAAAATTTGAGTTGTACGAAATTAATACGACCAATTAGCTAGGCTCAATTTAATTTGGAACGATTTTGCTGTGCGGGATAATTGGCCACGCATATATAAATCGCGCTACGCCCTCAGCATTATGAATAAACTCTTAAAAGCGCATAATTTAGTCCATAACATGGCAAATTTGGCAATTTTCAATCCCCCAGAACTTTACAAAAAAAAATCGGAGGTGAAATATCTTTTTACATTTGAACTCAGGAAGTCGGTATCTTTAATGGAGTATAAAAAATGCTTGTTGAAAATTATCATCTCGATCAGTGAATATTGAATGAATAAAAAACCACACCGAGCATAATAATTCCGTTTTCTTCGAAAGTCGGAACAACAAGATGAAGTCTTTGCTCGAATGTTTTTTTTTGGGAAATCTTCCACACATATGAACACAGTGCTTAGTAACTCTATGTTAATAAGAGCAAGTCGCTGGCCTCAATTGAGTTTGAATGCAATTTCTCAGCAAAAAAGTGCACTTTTGCAGCGTTAAAATATCCACATATATATTCCAAAATAGATCGCGGTTTAATTATCCCGAATAGTCATAATGGGCAGTGTTCAAACCCCCATAATTTTACAAAAAAGATTGAATGAATGAGCTTGAATGAGGTCACGTATAAAAAAACCGAGTGAGCTATCGCCACCACAAAACTTTATTTCAAACTTTGCTGTGTAGACAAATTCTCATTTTGTTTCGAATGCTAAAACTGGCCGGCATTAGAATAAAACGATTAACTCAATAAATGTTTTTATTTGAAAAAAATTGTAGAAATAATGGTCGATAACACTTTAAGACCAGTAGCCAAAAAAAGGATTTTTCTTTCTGAAACAAAGCGGAAATATTTGAAATCAATCAATCAAATTTAGACTAAGCAAAAATCTGACTCAATTTACATTTTTTTGTGTTTGATTTTGTGCAAACTATTCGTTGCCGATTAGTTGAAAACTGTATGATTTGTTCCAGTAGCCAAGGGAAATATATTCCTCTAATTTTCATTGGGTGCGGGGATCATTCATAAAAATATCTCTGTATAACATATCTAAGTCCAAAATATCTTTGTGAAATTGAGCGCTGGACATCGTTGCATTAAACATGCTATAAAAATTTCAACCAAATGGTCTTGTTAAAAAATACAAAATTGTGTAAAAAACACAGTTGGCTATTATCCTACCACCATCAAAATCGGGTAAAAAATTTTTGAAATTTTTGCTATCGAAAAAAGTGCTGTTGGGTGAAAAAAAAATTCTAGAATTACTTTCGCTTTCTTTTGTGTTTTAATAATGCAAATGAAAAATTTAAGTTGCGAAATTTTGAAGAAAGTAACAAAATATATAAGCTTCAGAAGGTGTTTTAATCAGGCCCATATCAATTTTTTAACAAGTCATTTTTGAAAAAAAACTACCCTCTGACAATTATTGACTTCCTGAAATTAAATTGGCTCACATTAAACAAAAAACATTTTGCATCAAGTTCTTTTTCGTTTGGTAATATGGACCAAAAATTGGCAATTTGGCCAGTTTCAGACATCGAACGCGCAACGCATTTTGTGGAATCAAAGTGCAAGCGCCGAACTAACCCGGAAAAGAAATTGTTTCAGATTGACTTGAGGCCCGCTATCTAGTCTTATTAAAGCGTTTCAAAACCCTAAATGCGTCACGTTTTCTTGATATAGTTTTTGGGCAGATGATCAATTTAAAAAAGTCATCGAAACTCAGAAGAACTGCTTCATAGACGTTAAAAGGCATCCGGAAGAATCATGGCTTCTTCCTTACACGAGTACTTTTGTTTTTTCAACTTTTGAAGAAAACGATAAATATATATGCTAGGTCGAATTCTTTTTTTTTCAGACCAAACTCTGAAAACAAATTTACATAGTGGACAATGAATCTAAAATTTACAAGTTCTAAAGAGGCTGTGCGCAGCACTATTATAAATGCGCTATAAGTCAAGGTAAGCTGTTTGCTTAGAACTTTCAAGAATTGTCCCGAAATGAAATCGGACAAGCTAATTTGGCATGAAATTTGTCGCTCCACTTTCAACCATTATGTATAATTATTTATATTGACAGCTCAAAAAAAAACGAAAATAAAAAAAAGTCAAAGTTTCAGTTGTAGCAGCCCAAAAAACGCCTAAATGTTTTGCCAGCAGTCGAAATGATTGTTCAAAGCGTTTTTTTCAAACAAAAATTTAAAAAAAAAATGCTAATCATACAATTTCCATATATGGAAATTGTATGATTAGCGTTTTTTTCATACCATTTTTTTTTCCTTTTTTTATGAAGAGATACCATTTTTGATACCAAAACAACAATAAAATACCTTTGAAAATCGATTAAACTCATTTTGAAAAAATGTATGATAATTCTATGACTAGCATTTTTCCATAGACTAAGTGTATGAAATTGTATGATTAGCATTTTCGGTCTATGGAGGTCAACCCGGGTTATCAATTTGCTTAAATAATCTGATTCATCAATTTGAGTTTATCACTTTTGCGAAAACTATCTGGGATCGATAAAGCACAATCGCATCATTTAAGGTTTTGACTTGATATGCGAGCAGTCTTGTTTTTGACATGCTTCATCGGGAGCAGGCAGTTCGTCGCAAGCTTTCAAAAACAACAACATCAAAGTCAACTTATGGCAAGCTTTCAAAGAGCAACAATGCTTCTCCAAGCAAATTTCTATGATAAATCAGTAAAAAAAAATAAAAACAAATGCTGAAAAAAGTGCAAAAAAATGAAAACCTTGGTTTCCCACTCGCCAAATAAAGCAATAAATGTTATTTATTGATAATGTATTAATAAGAGCAAATAAAAAACTCAAAAATATCAAAAAATGACTGGTTAAGAAAATGATTTTTTATTTCAGATTTTTTCATGATCTTCCCTCACACACTTCTAACTATAAATTGATCTATTTCAGGTCAACTAACGTGTAGATCAGTCCAAATCACTAGCTTTAGTTCCATTTCTGATGATTGCTGAGCCGGATTACTTTGCCAATTACGCCTGGTTAGAATGAGTTATAATGAGCATTTTGTTATCAAGCTAGTTATAATTATAAATGCAGAGCAACCATGTTGTGACTTATCTCTTCAAGGCACTGTAGCCGGCCAAACTATGCGGACAACTGTAACCGTGCAACAATTGACTTTAACAAAGTTTGTTAAACTAACATAGAAAATCACATT